CCCAGAGTCCAATTAAGGCGTCAGCAGCCAGGGCAGATTTATGATGGCCATGCTGAGTGGAACGCATGATGGGGGATGGAGAGACAGCTCTCACTATCGAGGATATCTTATACCTCCTCTGAGAGTCACTTTGTCTCTCTATTGTATCATCTCTGTCTTCTCTCACCTGATTATTTATCATTTTCTCTTTTATTGTAGTTATTTACACAATCCTTTCAGTGTTTTGTTTCTGTTTTTTTTTTTTTTTTCTTATTTTCAGCCCTCCTTTCCTCCAACACTAGAGCGGTACAGAGCTTCAGGCAACAGTGTTTAATTTTTTTCTGTTGGCCACAGCACTCTTTATCTCAGCTAAACTCAGAAAAGCCTTTTAATTCCTTCTATGTGTGAGGATGAGTAAGTCAAATAGACAGTTGGCCCACTCATCCTTTTAAGCTACTGTACTATAACAGTATAGAGTATTTATAGCTGAGAACAAGAAAAACAAAAACTGAGAGTTATAAGAATAAAGAGAGAATAATCTGGGCACAGTCTGAGAAAAATTGAAATAGTAAAAGAAAGTATGTTGAATGACTTTCATTACAGTAAAGCATCTATTATACTATATATGGTGGTGCTAAAAACAGATTGTACACCAAAACAACTAATTAGGTGCAACTAACAAAATTATACAGTCTCAACTACTTTTTGGGAAATGTACTTTAATTTTTATTCATTTACTTGCTAAGAATAAAATGAGAAGTTTGACTCCACTCTCATGTCTGTACACAAAATATGAAGCTAGAGCCGGCAGATGGTTATCTTATTAGAAAGCTGGGGGGTGCTCCGTCCACTGTCTGTGAAACCCACTACTCTTTTGTTTATTATATACAAAAGCTGTAGTGTGTAAATGTCAGGTTTAGTGTTTAGGTTTAGTGTGTTTTTAGACGTGCTCATAGGCAGATGTTTTTATCTTTGAACTGAGCCGAGTCGAAGCCAGAGATAAGGAAACTATCTCCCTGATCTCGCCCTCTATTTATATGACTGTTACCAGTCATCTTGGCAAAAAACTGAATAAGGGTATTTCCCAGACACACAAACACACAATCAAGCTGTAATGATTTAACAGTTGCAAGCAGATACCGTGTACAGTATCTGAAGCCCAAAGACTTCTATTTTATAGGATGTCCCATCAACAGATCAGTGTCACAAGACA